TTCTATGGCTTAATACACCTCCCCACCCCCAAGTCCTGCCTTTGCATCTTGGTACAAGGGTTACATTATGAGATGTACAGCAAGCTTTTTGTATCTGGCAGTGTCTTAACATTTCTCTTCCCCTCTCACAGCTACGAAATTAACTGAATGTGAGGTAGAAATAATTAGGACTACAAGCATCTTGACTATAAACATTTCAGCTCTGCCTGGGTCACGCTAGATGGCTGTAAAATTAACTTTTACTCACCTTTCACCACTTACCAACAAAACATTTGAGGATAAGTTTATTTCTCGCGAAATTTTCTGGAGTGAATAGAACAAACGTAGACAAGAACATCATGCAGACTTAAAAACCCAGCAAGATCCCCTGCGAACCACACACCATACTGAGCGTGCAATACTGGCCCCAGCAGTAGGAAGTCTTAAATTGCAAAAACTATGAATTATTTCTGGTTACGGTTTTAGGAATTAAGTCACAGAATACATAGAAAAGTACATAACTGTGGACAATATGAACAATAATGACTCGCTACCACAGTTGGGTTTTTTGTTTGGTTGGTTTAAAAAAACAAAACCAGTTATAACCAAGACCTAAGGAGCAGGTGATATTTTCTCGAATTCGAGTAGTGAGTCTGTAAGTCACAACTACATGAAAAGATGTGAACAATTGTGCATATCTTTTGTAAGATAGAAATTGTTTATCCTTGATCTTCTGGTTTATTTGTGTGATTTCCCAGTGTTTAAAATGCCACTCCCTTTTTAAAGTGAATCTAGGACAGCATCAAGTGAATATATGCAGATCAACACCATATATAATTTTTTACTTTAGAACTAAATAAGAACTATTTGCTTGCTTGGAAGCCAAGAGACGGTATATTACCTTTGAAATGGAGACTTTTGTTATCAATTCTGTAATTTTTTTAAGGAAGAAAAAACCAAAAATTATCAAAAAGTTAACTTACATTATGTATGCAGACCTTTTAAAAAATCATATTCTAGTTATGTTTTGGCAATTTTTCTTCTTGCTTTGAAAAGTAGGAATTAATATAATCGGTATATAGAAATGTTTTGATAAGTCAACTAGCAGGGGTAAAAAAAAAATATATATATATAGAATGGTTTAAATTGTAACCATTAGAATTTAAGTGTTTAAGCCAGATGCCCAAATTTTACAATGTCTTTTGTTTTGTTTTAGAATGCCATTAAAGAACACTCCACAAATCTTTTTGTGAATGAAATTTTTATTTACACACTGTATCCAGAAGCAGATACATAAATCCTTATACAATTATTTTTCAAAAATGTGCAAGAAATTACTATAATTTTGTTTACAAACCAAAACACATTAAAATCAATGGACTTTGGATAATTCACTCTGTGGCGTGCTTAGTACAAATAGTGCACACCAGGTCTGAAACAGAGAAAAGTGTAAACTACAGCAATCTGGATTGCAAGTATTAACTTCATGGCACTCCATCATCACTATAAAAATTCTTTAACCCAACATGAATTCATACAAAATTCTTTAACAATCTCTCATTATCTTATAGAATTTAGAACACTCTCCAGATACAACAATGCCATATTTCCCTTATTATGAACTACTATTTAGCCCATATTTTATTTATAAAGAATGCTTGCAATTTTTATTCTTTGCAGTCGTAAAAAGATTTTAAGAAATTAAATTGGCAATCATTAATTTATCCATAGCTTAGTTCAGAATTTGAAAGTTCAGTAACAGGTAAATACTTCTCATCAGAATCATAGCCAATATATTGCTGGAATAGTGTTTTAAATTTATAATTCCAGTATTCACATAGATGAAATGCATCAAAACAAAAACTGCACAGATTTCACTTAGCCCAGCAGTCAATATTCACAGAAATAATTTGGCTCTAACAAAATGTAAAGTCAGCTCATCTGAGAACAGAGTTTAATTAATAATTGCATTTCTGATCCTTCCAACAGAAAAACATGTTGATAAAAAGATGGCATTCACTATGTCAACAGCAGGATAAGTGCTATATCCTTCAAATAGATCAAAAAATAAAATCACTTTCAGTTGTTTGTAACACTGGCTTACAAAAAAAAAAAAAACAACACAGAAGAAATGGTGCAAATTTACTTTTCTGTTTCCAAATACAAGGTGTTGTTTTATTAATTGGTAAAACAGACAATGTTATCAATAACGTCAATCATTTCAGATGCTCAAAAAAGGAGTTTTATTTCAAAGTTCCATTTTCAAAAACATTTTTCCACAATTCAATTGCATAAAAAGCATACCTTTTTAACCCTTAAACTGTTGTGCTGAATAAATAGCCATATTTCTACTCTATAAGGATCATAGTCAGTTAGCTTTTATTCCTAGTGTATCTAATTCCAAAGGTCCCAAAATATCCTCAATTGTTTTCCTTTTATTTGTCAAGGACACTTTGTTACTCTAATTTTCATGAAGCAGAAGTCAACATAATTTTTGTGGTTACTCCAAGTATTTCTAAATTGTCTCATAAATAAATGTTACTGTGTTTCTTTTATATTAATCTTTATTATAAGAAATTGTAAGTATCTTTAATGTTTTCAAAGTCATTTTTCTGGGTTCCTTCTGCTGGCTGGCCAGTTACCTCAGCATGAAAAAATACTGCAAGGTTCTGATTAATGAAACCTGTAAAAATAAGTATATGTGTCTACTTACTACTGATTTAAAGTATTTTGAGCTTAGTATAATTATCATCACCATTTTTTATTTAGAAACAAAGTGCTATATGGTTCTCACATCCTAGGTCTCAACCACTTTACAGTGTTCCTTTTGTGGAAGATTTATGGGGGGCAAAAAATGACAAAGTTAACTTGACCTGATTAAGTTCACAGATGAAGAACACAGGAAGGATGGCAATTCAAAAACCGGATAGCCGAACCAAAAGAATAAAAAAAAAAAAAAAAAAAGCAAGCATCAACACATATGAGTGTACAAACTGAAATTTATGAAGGCATGGGCAAGAAATTTAGCATGTGTGTTTTTGCACGTTTTTCAGTTCAGCAGTAAGACCAGGATATTATAGCTTCAACTATTTAAGTTTCAATGCAATGACTGCTAAATTAATGCATGTGGTGTATTATAAACATACATTTAATGCATTCAATAGTGGTATTAAATGGCAAAGAAAATATTTAATATATTAAATAATCTTTCAAAGATTCCGTAGAATGCATAGGCCCTCTAGCTTGTACGGGGAAAGAATTTTTAAAGTGAAGAAAATACCAGAGGTTTTCTTCCAAAAGTATGCATCTGAAATCCACAAAAATGATTTTCTTTTTCCTCCCCACAGACAGAATCAGAACACTGTACCATACAATAGGTTATTGTGCCTTTTTGAATAAAGTTAGTGATCCTGATTCGGGGGGAGGGGGGATTGGGGGGGGAAGTCAGTAGAGGAAAAAAGAAAATGGAATTCACACTTGCATACATATATCTCAATGGCAGAGCCAACAAGTTACGCATATAGACTGCTCTAGATTTTTTTAAGCTTAAAACTTTATCAGACTAAAGAAGAAATCCTTATTCTCCCTCCCTTAAAAGTAAAGGCAGCCTTTATCTACCTTTGATTTTATTTTTTTTATTTTTTAGTTAAACATTATGGTCAAAAAATAAATTAAAAAAATATAAATTTAGTCTATCAATTCAGGCAACCCAAGATGTAGTGCTATTGCACCACCTTGCAGCAATACTGTATTCATTACTAAAGACTCATTTCAGCGGACAAAAGGCTAGATTAAACAAGGAGAAGAAAATGACCTAAACAAGAAAGCTGTATCAAAGATGAACAGCCTTTTCTAAGCTGATGTTTACTGACTAGCAACTCCTACCAGTGATGGGGGAAGATGACATTCTAAAATACAAAACAGGGAGGCAGAGGCAGGCAAAGCAAGCCTCCCTCCCAAGCCAGCCATGACCCCTTTAACAAATAACTCATAGAAGTGATAGAATCATGGGGGAAAAAAAAACTGAAACAAAACAGGAAAATGCCATGGATTAACCTTGCATGACAAAAATATTAACAGTGTAGAACTGTACTCCCCACTGAAAGTCTTTTTTCCTTACAGAAGGTTAGAATAACTGTAAGCTTTTCAAATGCCAGAATCTTTGACAGATATCATAAAGATTTACTTAACTGATTCAATATTTCATATGTCAAAACATATTTCATGACATTAAACTGAAACATTTTCTGTGGTCAATGTATATCCAAACCTCTTTTCTCCATAATTTCAAAGGCTAGAAGAACAGAGCTTTAGAGATGCATTTTAAGCATCTTCCATCCAAAATGTTATCAGTCCTGTTCCTTCCTCCCCAAAGTACATCCAACAAAAGGGGAAAACAATCCAAAGGACATTAGTGTATTACTGCATTTCTGAAGTGAAAAAAATGCAGAAAACAATAAAATTTCAAGTAGTTTGAATATATATTGTAGAAATCATCCTATCAGAAGTTTTACCCCATCCCTAAAATGGCTTATCAATTTATGTTCCCATAATAACAATTCCTAGAGTCTTCCTACAAATCCAGGAAATTCCCACCCCCCCTTCCCTCCCCACCCCCCAAGAGACGGTAGGAGGGAAAAGGACAGAAAGAGGGGACCTAGTAAGTGTTCATTTATTTAACCGATGGAATGATTTTAAGGCCCAAATACCACAATTTCCTTATAGGTACTACACATTGACTTTCACAGACTACTTTTTTTTAAAGGCCATTTTTAGAAGGACAAAATACTGAGACAAGAAGAAACCTGAACCAACCTTCTCAAACACAAAATAGTGTACAGACAACACAAGGCTTAGGAGAAAGGTGGTTTTTTGCCAAAGATATGCTGCATAACCATGTTCTTATCACACAGCTCTGTCTGTAAGTTCTACATTAGGGCATATCTCTATAGAAATTTATAATTAAGATACTAGGAAATTGTTTTTAACATAGATGTAAATTCTTTTTAAATTTAAATGTAAATTCAGAATACCAATATGTTTTTATCCACGATTTTTTTTTTTTTAAACAGGCTATTTTAAAGGAAAAAAAATTCCATTCAACAAGTTTCATTTGACTTTTACTTATGGTTGAATACACATGAAATGTGCTTTCAATGCATAAAAATCACAGTGGATAGCAGCAAAGGACTTGGGGGAAATTAAGGAGAATTTGATCATTCACATTGTGATTAATCTGCACATTGATGAAAGATAGCTATTTCACACTTCTAAAAATAAACTTGAGATCATTCTTCAAAAAAAAAAAAAAAAAAAAAGCCCCCCAAAATAAGCCCAACCCCCCCAAACAAACATAAATCCAAATGCATTACTTTTACACACAAAAATGAAATATTTTTATGGCAGCAAAATATTTTGATAATAATGAAAGTCTGTAAACTGTAGTTCAATCTCTTTTTGTTGTTGTTGTTCCCAAAGTGCAAGATGCAAGATTCCCATAAGCTTTCAGTAGTGCTTTTCCTGTAAATAATCCTTCATTTTGTTTGGCAAAGGCAGTTTCTGAATCAGGTCTATTCTGGTGTACTGACGTATTACAAAACGACACAGGTATTGTAAAGAACGCACCTGCATAAACCGTGATACTGGATTTGTCAGTCTCACTGGGTAAGTTGCCGATCCAGGCAGTCGAGATCTCGAATAGCAGAAAGCTCCATTTTCAGAGTCCCTGATTGAATGTTCAATTAAGTCAACTATAGATGTATGTCCCTCCACATCTGGTTGTTCATAAAAGCTAAACCTACCGTTTGAGTGTTCAATTCTAGTGTGAAGAGTTTTTCCATGGGAACGAAAACTCAAACTTAAAAGATAACGATCATCAGAACTATCTCGAACAAGAAACGAGCCATCAGGCACATTAGCTAATTTTCCCTCTGCCTCCCAACGTGTAATGGGGCCCCAGTACCATCCTTGTTTTGCAAGTTTTTTCAGTTCTTCTGTGAGACTTGTCACAACCATGGGACCACTGTTCTGTACAGAATCATAAACTCTTCCAACTCCAGGGGCAGTGTTAGGATCAAAATTCAAATGGCAGCGCATACTTTCAGCCACGTGGGCATCTGTGCCATTCAATCCATTGAAGTTCCTTTGGATTTGATTATTCTGCATTGGAGGTAGCAAAGGTGAGAGTGGAGGGACATCGCTGTGATTAACTCTTGGGCTTTGCAACATGACTCCTGTGGTACCAATCAACAAACCATTCACCGTCTGGTCCACAAAGATATCTGGTGCAACGACTACATCCTGATCCACTTGGCTCTCTTCTTCATGGAAAGCATTTCCCCCCACTTGAGAAGAAACAGTTGAAACTTCCATGGGCGAGGAACTATCCAGACAGTAACTACGTGATCCTTCCAAAGGATACATTCCCTCATCTAAAGGCACAGTATACTGAATGTAGTCCTGAGGCATTAATCCAATAACTACAGGCACATGTTCATCAATATGAAGATGCAAGTCCCCATTCTGAGATTCCGTATTTTTTAATGCATTGTTTTGTTCCTGGAACACGCTGTCTGACTGCAAGTCATGGAAGTCCTTTCGAACGCCATTCAGTGCTGGGCTTGGATTAGAGGAATGGACCAAGGCCTTGACTTTCACTTCCATTTTAATGCAAGTCTCTTCTGAATTTGTAGGTCGAAGGGGCCATGGAGTTGGACTGTAATGGTGATTACGGAGGGAAGTGGATCTCAGAGGTCTTTGAGCTCGCACATCTTTGAAGGTTATTGGAGCAGATGAAGAAGAAAAGGTGTCATCATCTGCAGAGCTTACAGATGGTGTGCTGCCTTTGCCTTTCTGTTTTTGTTTTGCTGAAAGCCTCCTTTTTAACGTACCCATTAAGCTTTCACTTTTTGATCTATTTTTGCCTCCTTTTTCATCTTCACTATTGACTTCACAGCTAGCCAAATCTTTACCATAGCAGCTGCCAAACAAGGAGTCATCTTTTCCAAATTCACTTAAAGATG